ACCCCACAAGGAGCTTCTCAGAAGTGGGCACTAGGCATCTACAGTTTCCTCTTTCTTACTCCGCTCTTTGTTTTTCTTCTTTTCCCCCCCTCTCTTCTTCTAAATTCGTCCAAAATTGGAAATGGATGTGTTATTTTTTGTATCTTGGCTCTAAAATAGTAAAAGCACTAATAATAGATTTTATTGAAGCCAAAGATGGTAAAAACAAAACAAAACACTTCACTGGTCACTGTGGAGAGGGCATGAGCCATCCACTCATGTGGTGTATGTTGTATACCACCCCCATACAGACTGGAGCAGCTTAACTTTCCCTGTCACATCACATCTTTAGTTTGAAGTCAGTGAAGCTGTTCCGTAAATATTCAGCATTGCCTTAAACCAGGCCCGCGTCACAACATGCACCTTATGTAATATTTTCAATCTTTAAATCAAATGTATGTGGAAATGTATGTGGACCCTGCATCCATAAAGAGCGCCAAACTGACAGCAGCAGCGATGGGCGGGCCTTGCTTTGGTTGTGGAAAGGATGAAATGCTGGTAGCTACAGCAGCAGCTCTCCACACATTGCAGTGTGGTGATGGTTTTGCAGGTTCTTTGCTGGCCTGTGTGGAAGTTGCAGTGTTTCTCCTCTGCGCTGACAAGCTCCAGTGGAGCCATGTTCCAGGAGCTCTTCCCCATCCTAGTCCAGGGCTGCAGGACAGTGCCAGCCTGGGGGTTTGCTACCCTCTGTGAACCTGCCCTCCAGTTCTGGCTTTCTAGCTTCAGCAACAAAAATATCCTCAAATATCTCCCCACCTCACTGTTCTATTTTTGTGTGTATCTCCCCTGCACAGCGCAATGTCTTCGTCTCTCTGGCTTTTCCACCAGAGCAGTTTGTGCATGGTCTGGCTTGGCTTATTTTTCATAAATTGTGGAAGTGTTGGTTTGGTTTAAAATCAAAACAAAATAAAATAAAATTGGCAAGGTCTTTTATCAGGTAGGTCAGGTTTCCAGCCTGTTCCTCAGATGGGATGCGGGCAGTGGTGCCGGGGTGAGGAGGAGCGCAGGGAATGGCAAGGCAGGGATTCCTTGTGAGCCCTGTGTTGGGATGCCAGAGCTCTCGGAAGCCACATCTGTGGAGTTACAAGATTGTTTCAACTGCTGGGATTATTTCTTTTCTCTCTCTTTTCTCTCTCTTTTCTCTCTCTTTTCTCTCTCTTTTCTCTCTCTTTTCTCTCTCTTTTCTCTCTCTTTTCTCTCTCTTTTCTCTCTCTTTTCTCTCTCTTTTCTCTCTCTTTTTTCTCTCTTTTCTCTCTCTTTTCTCTCTCTTTTCTCTCTCTTTTCTCTCTCTTTTCTCTCTCTTTTCTCTCTCTTTTCTCTCTCTTTTCTCTCTCTTTTCTCTCTCTTTTCTCTCTCTTTTCTCTCTCTTTTCTCTCTCTTTTCTCTCTCTTTTCTCTCTCTTTTCTCTCTCTTTTCTCTCTCTTTTCTCTCTCTTCTTGTTTGTTTTATGCACTCAGGAACTTATTGGCTTTTCAGATACACTGAGTTGATATATCTGAGATTTGTTGTCAGGCCCAAAAAAGCTGCAGAAGAGCCTGCAATGGTGTGAGCAAGCAACCTCCCCTTGAAGAGCGTTGCTGTAGCTGAGCATGGCTGTGAGGAGCAGAGACAGCTAACACAAAATGATGAAGGGGGCTTCCCTCTTTATATCTGGCCACGAATTTGAGTTGTCCTTGGTGATCAGATACACTGTGGTTTGTACTCCTGGCAAGAAAAGCAAGCGTAGGCTGGATTTCTCAGGTGGGACTTGAGTTAGCTGACTGCTGGAGACAGACTGGTGAGTCTCATCATGAACCTGGTTTCACATCCATGAGCTTATGACTGCCCTGGCCAGGATCAAAAAGAATTTCAACCCTTGGTTGAAATTTGGAAGAGAATTGAGAAGCAAAAGCACATATAACAAGGAGGAATAGAAGTAGCAAAACATGGTAGGGATTGAAACAGCACATGTTTCACTATCTTGAAACAGATAGTGTAATATGCTAGATTTCACCGGATATGTGTGAGTACTACCATACAGTGTCTGTGCGTGCCTGTCAGCTCCCTCGACCCTTCTTGGCACTGCTCCTGGCACACAGAAAAACTAAGGCACAGTCTCTGCCCTGAAGAATTTGCACCATAACTGGATACAGCTGTAGGAGGAGAAGAGCATCAGGGCCTGCAATGGCTTCTCTGATTTTACACCGTGGAATAGAGAGCAGCGATTCCTGTCCTGCCTCCAGTGCTATGCCTGTTGGGTACCAGGATCATAGTGCAGCTTTTTACACTTGCTTACTGTCCTCTGTGAAGCTCAGTGCTTTATAATTATTGATTATTTAAGCTTTGAGTTGTCTCTGATAGAGGAATGCTATAGTAATTGTTAATATAGGAATTATTTGAAATGTAACCAGAGATAATATAGCAAAGGCAGAAGGAAGATCTAAGACAATCCATTTTTGGTATAATGTAATTAATTGAGTCTTAAACATAAAAAGCATTAATTGAGCTTAAATAGCATGAGTTGGTTTGAATTTCTGAAGAAACAGCTGAGGAAATGCAGAGTAAAAAGGGTCATATTGAAATGAATATGAGCTTTGCCATTGATTTCACTGAGGCTTGAGTTCCTCCAGACTTGCATCAGTAGTGATGCTGAGCTACCCACCCTGCCTATGTCATTTTTACTGCTGCCTTCCCTTCCCACTCACATTGCAGCTTCCTCTGGTGCTAGATGTATCACTGAAGTCACGTCGGCCCAGTGCCTGGGGAGGAATGGAGATGAAGTAATACTGCTGCCTGAATCTGGGCCTGCGTTCCATCCTGATTTTTATTCATCATTCTGTACAGAAGTCAGAGGCGTTCTCTGGTGCCTGTTGTCTCAATCCACTGAAATAATACTAGTCACGTGGTTAACTTTTAACCATATGCTTTAGTGCTGTAGTGGCTTGGGTCTCAAAAAGCTGAATTTAGTGCAATTGCTTTTTCTTTGCTTTTCCTGTTATTAAAGCTAGATGTTGCAGCCAGCACTTCTGTGCATTTTTTTTCTTGCCTTTTGGAGAAAAAGAGAGGACTTGACTTCTGCTGTCATCAAGGTTGCTAGCAGTTAAATTGGCCTGTGCTAGACTTGGCAATGCACGTCTGCTATGACAGAGGAGGCTGAGTGAAGGTGGTCCCAAACTTCCCTGCTGTTTCTGGTTGCCTGCAGATAATTTTGTGCAAGACCAGGGAGTCATCTCAGAAGCGCTTCTGTTTCTGCTGTGGATGTGATCCTGCAGACTTTCCGCATGCACAGCTTATCTCAAATTATGAGCATGCAGGGCTCCAAGATTGGTCCTATCATGACAATTTCCTGGCAGAGGAAAAAGATAGAAACTATTTTTAAATGAAAGCTTTGAATGAGAGGAATATTGCAGAGTGCAGCAAAAATTGTGTCAAAAGCCTGAAATCATGGGCTCGGCAGTTTTCTTGTGCCCGTGGTTTTCTTTTCTTCATGGTTTTAAGACTGTGTTTTTGGAGGACTGGACTGAGCATTTTTCCACAAGATTTTTCTGTTCTCCCCTGTGCACATTATTGCAGCAGCAGCAGCATTTTCTCGGCTAGTCAGGCTGGTGAGAGGTGATGTGCTGTGATGTGTTCACAGGGGTGGGACTTTGCAGAAAACCTGTAGCTCTGCCTTGCACACGGTCAAAATGGTTCTTCTTTAAGTTTGCCCAGGAGTTCATTATTCAGCCTTTTGGGGTGTTTTTCCCCCAGATTTAGGTTTATGCTCCTACCTTGGTGTACATTTCTAACTTCTCCTTCCAAGCTTCAGTGCTCAGTGGCCACTTGGGAAAAGCAAATAACAGAAAGCATGTGACTTCTTCTTAACACTGGAAAATTATGTCCTCTTTTCCCTATCACTCACTTTTGTGGAGCTTAAGAATGACCCAAAGGGCTCTTGCTCAGATTTTCATTTAAAACAAACCATCTGATTTGATCCCAGATTGTTATTTCCCCCAAAAGCACTCTCAGAGTGATTTGAATATGTGAAAACAGGCAGTTTATAACCACAACTGTTTCCTTGCCTTTGATAGAGTGGTCACTAGTCAACAAATGTAAAATTCACTGCCTCAGAGGGAGATGCTTTAGTTAATTAGTTACAATCTGTACTGTGCTAAGAGATTCACTGCTGCTTGCCCAAGTATTTGCCTGCTGGCTCATGTGCTGGCTTTGCTGATCCCAGTCTGTATATTGTGGCTGGTTCCTCACCCATACCCAGCCGGTGAGGAGGTGCCCAGAACCACATTGGCTCAGGGGAGAAAATGAACGTTTCCTCTCCTGAGCCATTTGCTGTGCTCTGGAAACCTGCAGGGCTGGGTGAGCCTACTTCATAGGTTCTGCTCTTTCGCTAACACAAAGTTTTCCAGGCCCAGCCTGGGCTTGCAAATTGTCGCTTTGGGTGCATATTTCTGATATTGTCTTTTAGCAATTTTTTTCCCCCTTTCTTCTTTACCCACGCATCTGTGTGCACATTCCCACGGTGCTCTGTGCGTTATCTGACTGCCTCTTTCCTTGTTCCAAGAGGCTGCATTTCCCTGCCACTCTCTAACCAGGAGCATGCAGCTTTTGGTGCCCATCTACATCATCTTCACTGGTCATCTTTAGGGGTTTTGGCAGCTTCCAAAGGCTCCCTGTAGGTAGCTGTGGCCTGGCTTTTCTGGTGGTGCTTAGATGCACTAGCCTGACACTGGCTGCACCCCATATTTGCAGAAACACATCTTCTGCAGGCATTTAAGAGCTTGTCTGCAGCTTGGGTATGTTACACCACACTACAAAAACCACCAGACGAGGTCTGGCCTGGTGACGAGCAATGCTCTGGATCCTGTCCTATCTTTTACCCTTTGGATATGTGAAGTTAAATGGAAGGGAACACCAACATTTGGGTTGAAAATTCAGGAGAGGCAGCTGAAAAGTCTGGCATTCACCCAGCTTTTGCTTTTTTCCAGGTGACCTGGTGTCTCGAGCCATGCACCACCTCCAGCCCCTCAATAGCAAGCAGCACGGGAATGGGACACCAATGCACCAGAAGCAGGGATCACTCTATTGGGAGCCAGAGGCTCTGTACACCCTCTGCTACTTCATGCACTGTCCGCAGATGGAGTGGGAAAACCCCAATGTGGAGCCGTCAAAAGTCACGCTGCAGACCGAGAGGTAAGAGCCACTGCACAGTGCTTAAAGTCGTGGTGCATACATTGCATTAATAAATCAGCCTGGCTGGCTAATTGCTAATTACAGCTTGCGCTTGAGAGGCTGTGGAGCAGTCTGGTTTGGTTTAAGTTCACCTCTTTGAAATAAGTTTCTCTCACTGAAACGCTGCATGGCTGACCCAATATATATATCAAAAGTGACACCCAGTGGCTACAGACAGCAAATTGGTTCCAGATGTGCACTCGGGAGAGATTTCCTTTTCCTTTTGTTGTTGCTCAGCTATTCTGTGTTTTGGAAAAGCAAATGAGAACTTCTATTTCTGGCCGCACAGGTTTGGGTTTAAATACGTTTTTTTCTGTGTGTTAATAAGGCTCGGCAGCTGTGACTGGGGAAGTGGAAAATTTAATAGAGTCGTGCGTAGAAAGGAGAAGCCATTAAGGGTGCTGGTTTCCAGCCCTGCCCAGTACCCAGGCGCAGGAGGAACCTCGAGGCTGCCCCAGCTGGGATGTGGCTGTGCCGCTGCTCTCCTGCTCCAGGGGTGGCCAGGGGACCACCTGAGGCCCAAGGTGTGATGTAAGGTGAGGAGGAGACACCACTGACGCTGGTGATGGGGGTTACCAAATGCTGCCAGACAGGCTGCCCAGCGCAGAGCAACGCTGCACCCAGATGCTGCAGAAGCCAACTGGGACATAAAGAAAATAAGGCCATCTCCTCTCAAAGGCCCAGTGAACCCCTGAGTAACACAAGCTTCTGTTTGTGTGCTGAGGCATGCTGTACTGTACTTCTCACCAGCCCTAAACTGTGTTTCCCCAGTACAGAGACAAGAGGAGTGGATGGTGCTTGGAAAGTGATGGGTGTTCATTTTTAGGATGGGTATCATGGTAATGCAAATGCAAAATGCTTTTTCAAGCTGGGCTCCACGTTTACATCCCAATGTATATATGAGGCTGTATGTGTGAGCCAAACTCTGACCTGCAAGTGTGCCCTACAAGCGTATGGGTTTTGTTATTGTTTTGGTATGAAGTCTGCATCTGAACAGCAGCATTGGAGAATCTGATTGTACGTGTAAGCGTAAATGGTATAATATAGGCCATCTTCATTGAAATATTCTTATATCGACCCAGAGAAAAACATACAACATGAAACTCTGGCATTAATGATGTTACTGGGAATTTTTGCCATTTGCCTTTGGATAGCATTTTGTTTCTTTTAAAGTCTGGGTTGCACCGTGAGCATGTTTGTTGCTTTTTGCTCTATTGTTTCCAAGTATGAAGAACAAAAAGAAGTGAAATTACAAGAATCCAGAATATTTTTTATTCTCTAAATTATTTTCCTGTATTTGTTATCCAGCCTTGTTATTGTGGAAGGCCTTAACCTGTATCCAAGAGTGGTTGGTATGCACAAAAAATAAACAAAATCAGAAAATATTCTCATCCGTAGTCCCCATCTGTGGGAGCAATGCCACCGGAACCAGTGGGAATATAAAGGTGAATAATGCTGAGGCTCTGGTTTTGTAAGGTTTCTGCAGACTTCCCTGTGGAAAGTGAAAAGGGCAGGAGTATTTGAAAAAATCACTTTTAGCATTTGCTTTAATAGGTTTTCCTTTCTCTGAGGTCGCCTTGATACATGTTCTGTTCATTAGAGCACTTGCAACGCTGATTATTAAAGGTGATTGTTGTTCTTTATTTTGAAAAGTGTGTCTGGCAAGACATCTTCCTTTGGCAGGGCAGCTTAAGAGCTGCGGTGTGCGGTTAGGGCCAGAGCAAGTACTCAGTGTTATTGCCAGGAGCTTGTGGTCACTTTTGGAAGGAGCAGATGCTCCTCCTGTTGCCCAATCAAACATGCGTTAGTACTTAATGCTGGAGTGGGAGCAGTGTGGGGTTAAGCATGAGCCCAGATATTTCCATGGGGTTGTGCGCTGGAGCTTCATTGGCTGGACACAACCATCCTGTGCTGCCCAGTGGAGAGATAGGTGGAGCCGACTTCTAAGTGTTCTGCAGAGCCCTCCTACCTAATTTCCATCCTTTTTTTACAGGCAAGCATGCTTTGTGGTTCGTGGTTTATTTCTGGTGGTTTCAGTTTCCATGATGGGTTTTTGTGTGTTGCGGGCGAGGGGGTTTGTTAAATATTGTCATTTTTATATGCAGAATATTGACAAACTTTGTGCCATATCTACCTGCTGTATTCTCTCTCTTCTTCTCCAGCTGCAGCAATTGCTTTTTATGTTGAAAGAAGTCCAGGACACAAGGAGGTCCAAGTGTCTTTCCCCATCCTTGGCCTCTCTGTGCCCCTATTAGTGCAGAGAAGCCAGGACTGTGAATCTGCCTGTAGGCAGTATTTCCATGAAACAAAGGATGTCCTTGGCTCATGTGAAGTCAGCTTGACTACTGTCTCGGCCCCCTTCTCCCTGACTGTGCATGCCCAGGGAAGAGAGGTTTGTGGGATGTTCCCATATTGCTCCCCTAGTGCTTGCAGGGCTTGGTATCCTCATGAGAGCTGCTCCCATCCTTACCACCCATCTCCAGCCCACCTGGATTTCATCTCTGAACTAGGCTGAGGTAGGGAGCTGCAAAGGCTCTGTGCATCCTTCTGCAGAGGCTGAGTATGGGAGGGAAGCTGGTATGGTGGCAGTCCTGCTTAGCCTAGCACTTTGCAGCAAAGAAAGCACTACCTCCCTCAGAGTCTTGGGGGATACATTAAATGGGATGTTTACCTTTGAATAAATCTGGTCCTTCATTTCTAGGGAGCATTTCTATGTGTTTGCTCTCCATGGAGGTAAAGAAATGAGAATACAGTGTGGTTTTAATAGTGTTTGTCTCCAGATAAAATAAAAAGACAAAAATTACTATACAGCAAAGCTCTTGATTGAGGGGCTGCTTTCATGAGAAGGGGAGGAGGTGGAAAATGTCCAGAATTGCTCAGCATACCTGGAGAAGATTCACGACTTCATAAATGCCTGCAACCCCAAATGTAAGATGTATGTGTGACCCCCACCTGCCCAATTCATATTCTTTTAAGCTGGTCACTTTGGAAGAAACCCTCTGACTTTCTTGGCTGTATTGTTGGCACCAACACAAGTCATGTACCATGTAGATGGCTATTTTAGCAGATGTGGAGGTACAGAATGGGGTTTGGACCTGTTTGTGGGGATGCAGACAGCTCTTTTGGCATGCATGGAGGTATGGAGGTGGGGTGGGATGGACACTCCTAAGGTGCTTCCACCAGTGAGTGGCTGTGGATTATTTAGGTTTGCTTGTTCTTTTGCTTTCCTGGGAATTTGAGGGGGGGGGGAGGGAGGGGAGGGCATGAAATTGTATGTGAGGCCGCTGTTGCCAAGATTTCTTGCTTGCTTGCTGCTTCTGGTTTAATAAAAGGATCTGTCCCATGGTTCTGTTTTGCTTCTCAGCCTCTATAACACTTCCAAAATTATTGCAAGTAATTTCTTAAGCACCGGAAAAGCACAGAATCTGTAGCAGCAGATTTGTGTGATGGTTTTTTCCTTAAGTGGTTCCTTATCCGCTTTTATCCACAGCTGTATTGACAAAGTCCTCATTCCTTCCTAACTCTCCATGTTCCCCATTAACAACTCATTTTGAAGCAGCATCTCAGCCTGTCCAGAACCACCCATTAATTCTGCTCACAGACAGCAAAGTTCCTTCTCCAGTCCCTCCTCACTCTGCTCTGCCTTGGTGGAGCATTAACTCCCTGTACTCCCTGGCGCCTGCTTTAGCTTCTCCCCTTGAGTATTGAGTTGATGGATACCTGTCTGGCTTTAATCTTCTTTTCACCTTTCCCTTGCTACTTTTCGCTGTATATGGAGCAATCCCTTAGGAAACATCCATGGGCTATCGCTTGCTTTTTATTTTTCTGCCTGCCTTGTGTGCACGTATGGACACACACTTTAAAAATGCACACGTCCCCTGCACATGCACACACATGCACATTGTAGCCTGTGGCTGTTTGTGGTTAATGGAAAGGGTTTGGGTTATCACCTGAATTTTTCATACTACGGATAGTTATTAGTGTACCTGGCTAATTAATGTGATGCAGCTACGTTATAATGAGAGGGGTGTTCCACTGCTATAAAATAACTTAAACTCTTTCAAAGCACCTTCATAACTGTACAGCAATGTCTGGTAGTACAGATTATACCTGTAGAACAGCTTCAGTAAGAAGATAACTAGGGAGATGTATCCCTGATTTAACTTATTATATGTTATAAACTCCATGGGTAGGGCAGTCTCCAGCAAGGGCCAGCAGAGTGGAGGGAGAGGTGGGGAATGCTGATGAAGAGCAGGTAAAGTACTGGCACTGGGAATGTGGAAGTCCTGCTGTGAAACCTGAAGGAATCTTGCAACAGATATGTGAAGAAAGGATTACACATACTTGATATGCCAGTATGGCATAGCCCTGTATAGCCCTATATATTTTTCTTCACTGATTGAAAAACTTCACATGGTAAAAACATGGCCTCCCTGAACTCAAGGTTAACACCAGGGTTGATTTGACTGGGAACCACTGAAAAGAAATCTGAGATCCATCCTTACATAATCCTCTAAATTTATATCCTAAATATAAGATTTTCCACTTTTAAAAAATCCCTTCAGAAATGGTATTGGCAGCTGCCTGCAGTGTGTGAGATTGCACGTTACAAAAAATAGTTCAGGCAGTGTTTGTAGCTCAGCTGTCAGACAGTATATCCTTGTTGGGCTGGGGCCGTATTCTACACCTCATTTATCAAGCTAGTTTTACACTGTCCATGGGACTGTGGATTTTTTTAAATGGAGAAAACTAGGTGCAGCACTGCAAGAGCAGTGCATCACCCGGGCTGTTCTGCACCACGCTCCCAGCGCTGGCATCTCTTCAGGGATTTGTGCCACAGCCACTCATGTCAAATCTGATGTCAAAACTGCCTGTGAAATATTTCCCTGTTGTGGTTGCTGGCCGAGTCATCACTTCAACTCAGTTGCGTTTCAAGTCTTGGCCATTTATGTTTTTGATGC